ATAGTTTAGTTTCAGTTTTAGTTTTAGTAATTAAAGTTTATTAGATTTAACAGATCCCTTCCAGAGCACAGGCCAAAGAAACACTTTAATTTAACCTTAGTGATGCAAACGTCTAGCGACACCAAATTAAAGCATGTTGAGATTGATTAGATGGTAAAAGTATACAAATACACACCAAAATGAAGCAGTCATGCCTTTTTAAATCTACACAAGTTGCGCTTACATTATATATAAAACGCACTAGACTGAAATGATAAATGTGTGTTGTGATATTTAATTTGAAAATAAATGTAGCTAATTTCTTTATATTATAGCCTCCAAAATTTGAAGTCCAAAAAATTGCTCCCATCCATTATAAAATTAATCCACACAGCTCCGGGGGGTTAATAAAGGGCTTCTGAAGCGAAACGATGCATTTGAAAAATATCCATATTTACAACTTTATAAACCTTAATCTCTAGCTTCCGCTAACTGTTGTTACGAGAGAGTGGCGTCCAGCAGAAGACGTAGGAGGTGAGTAAATCATGGGGTCATTTTCATTTTTGGGAGAACTATCCCTTTAAGTTTTATACAAAAAAAATAAATAAATACATAAATAAACAAAATATTCTGAGATGAAAATGAAGCAGAACATTTATTATTCTTCTTTTTTGCAATTTTGTAATTTCTGAAATTGCACATTTCATCTTCAAATGCTTTCAAGTTATTTGTGTTATTTGCATTCATTTTAAATGAAGAATGGACATTTGTTGGGATTGTGGGTGTTTAATGGAGGTCATGTTAACCATTAGCCATCATTCAAATTCCAGACAGACTTCAGTTTCCAAGAAGAAATATATATCAACATTAAAAAAAATGTAACTCTGACTACAAAGTGGGCTTTACATATAGCATGCATTAAGTAATTTATGTAATTTTCTTTTAAATCAGATGCTCATAAAAGACTTCTGTCCAAGTAATTAGTGAAAAATAAAATTATTTTGACAAAATGCCAAAAATTGCTCCCCTAAGTCGACAATGTATAATGTTATTCAAACTCACACAGGATTTAGTATGAGACATTGTCATTGTAAATGCCCTACTGTATATAGCAAATCAAATTATTTGTTTACCGAATCACTAAGTATGTGACTTTGTTAAACATACTGATTCTGTCTCAGAGACACAAACACACACAATCATTCCACATCTGTCTGTACTGTGTGAAATATAAAAGACAGTGAAAAACGCAGAATCAGGGTGGATAATCTCATGCATCATACATGACCCTAATGTCTTGGTCTTCAAACCTGCATTTATATTTCATGTTTTCATGTAGTAAACAAGGGGGGACAATAAACTGGGGCGAGATGGACATTAATTTTCACCCGTCGAAGGGGTGTGCAAGCAACCACGCTGAAACATTGGGGCAATATGACTTATTTATAAATGTTTGCATGTTGACAAAAATAATTTATGGAGCTCCAGAACAAACAGAAAAGGGATTAAAACTACTCATTTTGTGCTGCTGACTGGATAAAGACCTAAGGAACATAAACAAAGACTGGTGAAGGATTCTCACGTGTGAGGCAGCCATGTGTGGGGGAATGAGAAAGGACCCAACAATGGCAGTCGTCACGCACAATAGATTCATTAAGTGTGGTCTTGTAGCCACAGATACTGAGTTATGGTAAATGTGCACTAAATATACAAGATCAATTAAAATAAATCTGAAAGGACTCTGTAATGTAAACAAGTGTTTCCCAACCTTTCAGCACTATCAGTAAGGCTCATCATCACCGAACAAGATATGTTTATTTTAACTCATTATGCTAATTTCACTTAGCAGCCTCTTTAATATAATTGAAATTGTCATCAGTACAATGACTCACTTCTATCCTAAAACAATCAATACCGTGGGTAAAAAATAGCAGACTCACCAAAAGCTTTCATTCAAACTGAAGCAGTTTTAGAAATACATAACTTTTATTTCACAAGTGCATTTACTTTGATAATGGTTTGACTGGCCGAAAGATTTAATGGGATGGAAATAGGTTTGTCATCCACACAAACTATTGAATTTCAAACTCTTACATACTGCATATTATTTAGTTTTTTGCTTCAATAAAACTAACAAAACAAAAAATACAGAAGAAAACAAAAATACTTCCAAACTCTAATGTTTGTTTACAAAACAAAACATAGCATAGTATTATTATTATTAATTATTATTATTGTTATTAAAAAATATTATTAATTTTAACCTAATAAGGAATAAAAAGGGGCTCTTTTAAATCAAAATGTCTGTCGTATAGGTTTAACAAAGCTGATTCCAAGTCCAATGATTGGCAATGATTTTAGCTTGACAATAAAAAAGCTCACGTGGGCGAGTAAAAGCATATAAGTGACTGTAATGAAGTCAAATGACATGTCAACTCAGTTTATGTGTGCATTATCATTACAACAACAGACAACAATGAGGATTATGAACGGCAGCAATAAACCCGAATTATTTGATTCCTGTTTAAAGGCAAACGGCAAGCCCATAAGTCAGAGTTATTTAAACATCTCCTTTATTCTCCATGTTCTCTCTCCATATTCCTCCAGCTCTTTTACTCTGATTCCTGATTGAACAGTTCCACACGGTTTACCCTACAGCCCAGCATGCACTTCTCCACCCGCCTCCTTCCACTCGGGCTGCAGGATTAACTGCATGCTCCATCACCCAGCCGAGTTCAGCCCTGCATTCATAACTCTAACATATGTAGCGTAATAAC